CACCCGTGGGCACCCATGAGCACATGCAGTAGGCAAACCCACCATTTGTCCTCTTCCATTTGCCATTTGTGAATGGGTGAGGATCATGGACTTCAACTCCACGAAAACGGAGGGGTGATTGTACATTCAGTGGTATATATGGGAATTATGATTTACAAGTAACATTAGTGCAAAAAAGCATTACTAATGATTCTGTATGGTGTGAAATAAGAAGGCCAATGGAGGCACACTGGGTGACACCAACTTACTGATGCCACTGATCCACTCTAGCACATTTACAATTTTAGCTGAAGCTGAGTTTTTGTTTAGTGGCCTGGAAGCTTAGGAGGAGCAGTCAAGCTCATGATCAAAGAGTTTGTGGCTATTTTCTCCTATAACTAGGCCTTCAACTGCAATCCTGATTTTCCAGTGTTAACAACCCAGGTGAAAAGCCCTTGCAGAGGGTAGGTACTCTCCCTCTTCTAAATTAAATACCCTTCACCTTAGAATGATGGAAATGATGGTGGAAGGGTGCATGTTTAAAGAGCTCCCTCCTAATGTGTTGATAAAACATGTGAAAATTAAAAATGTATACAAATTTATTGCAAATCTATTGCTGGTAGCTTGCCTATGTTTGCAGGGCTTATGTTCAATATCTCATTTTTCCTTACTCAAGGCAAAATAATAGAATTGCTTGTTCCTTGTTTGTTTGTTTGTTGTGGCAGTTGTATAACTTATGGAATAAAACAGAGAGGAACTTCTATATATTTGTGAAATTCCAAGTACACTTTGAGTACCCCTTATCCAAAATGTCTGAGACCAGAAACATTTTGGATTTTAGATTTTTTTTTTAATCTTGGAATATTTACATATACAAAATTTGGAGACGGGACTCAAGACGAAACATGACATTCAAATTGCATATACACCTTAGACACCTAGCCTGAAGGTAGTTTGGTACACAATATTTTAGATAATTTTGTACATGAAACAAGGTTTGTGTACAAAGAACCATCAGAAAGCAAAAATGTCACTATCTCAGCCATGCATGTGGACAATTTTGGATTTTGGAGTGTTTTGGATTTTGATATTCTGAGTAAGGGATACCCAACCTGTGTTATTTTAACAGACATGCAAGCTTGACTGCTACTCTAATCAGTCTGGGAATAAAACATGGTTATGAAACTTTAGACAAGAAGACACCCATAATAAAGCTCCTTTGATCCATTTTTAAAATATCTTCATTTTTTGTAAACCATTGTTTACCAAGTTAAGACAAAATTATTATTAGGAAATAGCTTTGGGTTATTAAAGTAATTAAACATCTGATTTCAATGACCAAAAAAACCCCACAGCTTTACAGTGAATAACACCACAGCTGTAGCAAGTAAAAGCAGGTGAATTTGGTTTTTCCTTTCCCTTGCCCATCCATTTATGTTTCTCTGCAAAGTTACAAGAGCTTTACCTGTTGCAATGCTGAACTGGCTTCTAGTTTTCAAGGAGATTTGTAAAGCAGAAAAGGCATTTGCTATGTACACAGACAGACAGTTAGTCAAATAGAGAGAAACCACTGAATGTCACCTTGGAAGAAAAAGAAAAGCTGAGCAAACTTTTCAGGCTGTGAATGTCTGTAATTATTTGCATTATAATCTGCATCAGGCCCAACATGTTAGTCTGAAACCTTCTGTTTCATCTGGTTGAAACTGAATTACTTTTGACTTTTCTTTAGATTATCAATAGAGTAATATCAAATTTACTTCAAGGAATGCTGGGTAACACTTTAATTCATTCATTCCTTTATTAAGGATACCGTCCTATAGTACAGGAGGGGCACATGCCAGAAGCCATAGGTTTTGCTGGACCCAAACTTGTAAGCTATATCTATGGAATTGTGAAAAGGTCTATATCTGGTGCTCTTTACTGTTAGAGCTCCAGCATCTCAGAGATTGGGCAAAGGTGTTTTTCATGGGGTATGCCAGGAGAACCTACAAACTCAAAGGTCTCCCATTTCCGCCACATGCCTGAAGAACAAAGCAGGGAACCACACCAGCTCTAGAGAGGGCAAACATTTCATCGCAGCAATGGGAGAGCAAACCAGGAGTAGAATTTTTAATGCTCGCCCCCAACCAAAAAATAAAAATAAAAAAGACAAATTAAAATAGGACATTTCCCTGGCAGGACATAAGAAAAGGTTATTCATTCACCTCAGTTCGTCCCATTCCCAACCCACTGGATTTCTCTGTGATGTATTTATATAGAGATTTATTTACCTAGAGATTTATTTCTAATTAAGGAAGTATGGCATGCAGTAATTTCAAACCATGGAGTCAGCAAATTTAATTTAAAATATAGCAATTTTAATTTAAAATATTACAAAGGCAGAGACGATTGACAGAAGTTCTTCTTTACATAAAACAGAAGAAACCTTGCAGGACAAAGCCTTCTGGGTAATCTTTACCAACTGGTGTAGATCAACCACAGAAGGGATTGTCAATACTTTGCAGAGTAAGGTGTCTGGACAAGCCACTGAGAAATTTCTGTTTTTTTATTATCTGTCGCTTTGCCTTAAGTGAGACATAGAGAAAAGAGTCTCCTTCTGAACTTCAGAAGCCTAAGGGTAGTTTATGAGGACTCAATACTTTGTTTACTTCTTCTTCTCCCAGGTCCTGATCATGTTTCAACTGTCCTCAGTGCACAACAATTCTATATCCTTAGTTTCATAAGAAGTGTTTGGAAATTTACTTTTGTTACAGGTTTTGTTCTGATACCCTGGTACTTACAATTAGATTTACAAATTTCAAGAAAAAATAACTTTCCTCTTTACTCAAAAGTAACTGAAATTGTTACTTTATGTTACTGTTTTAAAACAGCAAAATACAGCCTTGAATGAATTTGAACCTTGAATCATTCCATATTGAACCATTTGATATTCATCTTCCAGGATTCACTGATACCTATAACTATGAATATGATTAAAAAATAGTTACACTCCAAAAATGAATAAAGTTAGTACTTGCTAAGGTAATAATGCAACATAATTATATATTTGATCACTTGAATCCTGCATCAGCTACTTAGAGCCATTGCAGACCAGCCCCAAAGGGCCGGCCTGAGGGTAAATTTGGGGTGGCTGCCCTAACCCCACCCTGACACAGTCCTGATGCCACATGGCTGTACACACAGTGAGTGGCATCAGGACGCCCTTCTGGCACAGCGTGCAGACATGATACACCAAAAGAGTGTGGAAGAGCCGTGATGCTGGTTCTTAGGGTGGCCTTTTGCCGCCCCTAAAAGGAGCGGCATTTTGCCACTCTTTTAGGGGTGGCAAAAGGAAGGATCAGGGCCACTGCATGGGGTTGCTACAGCCCCGATCCACTGCTCCCCAGGGGCGGTTCTTTGCCGCCCCAAACAGGCTATCTGCATTGGCCCTTAGTTAAGTAAGCAATCTCATCTGGCCCATCCTCCCATCCCCTCAAACCTATGCAAATGTCATGCAGCTGATGCCCTGTAAAATAGGTTTATGGGAGAGTATAATCATGGCAATAATGTCACAATCATGGAGTGGTGTTTGAAAGGAAGTGATACAATCCTCCTTCCCTCCCCCTCCCCCACCCCATATCCACAGACCATGGATTCAATCATCACAACTTGAAAATATTTTTAAAAAACATAAATTCCAAAAAGCAAGCCTTCATTTTGACATTTTATACAAGGGACACGATTTTTCTATGCCACTGTATTTAATAGGACTTGAGCAATCATACATTTTCTTATCCATAGGGGTGGGTGGGTGGGTCTTGAAACCAAATCCCAGTGGATACCAAGGGCCCACTGTACTATAATTGACCTTCTTTTAATAGCAGTAAAATTTAAAATTGCAGCAAGCCAAATAAATAACCATTGATAGTATTCAAGGAAACATTATGTAGATAAGACACCAGTTATAAAGTAGATCCCAAATTTAAATATCAGTTTAAAGAACAAAGACTTCAGAACTCAAGGGCACCACAGAGTATAACTGGTTAAGTACAGTACAACAACAGCAAATATTTATAGCAGAGTTTGAGAGGAGCCTGTTGGCCTTTAGATCTTATTGGATAACAACCCCCATCATCCTGTGGCATTGGTCATGCTTGCTGAAGCTAACAAGAGCCAGCCTTTAACAGCATTGGCAGGGCAACAAGATTCCAAGAGACACAACAATTCTAGCCCAACACAAATTTTCCAGTCTCAGCAAGACATCTCTACCTGCTCCTGCTTTCCACTTCTACAATCAAAAATACAGTTCTATGTCACTTTCTTCAAATAAACAGACCTTTACTTGTGATAGCCCCCCCTCAAAATATAACCTTATTTTCTTCAAAAAGGAAAGGAAAGGAAAGAGAGAGGAAAAGTTGCCTCGTGTAGTAGCAACAAAGAAGATTAAGGGCAACCTCTTCATGAGATGTCTGGAACGTTATCTTTGCCTCTTCAGTGACATGAGGTTAGAGACTTTATCAGGTGCAGTGGCCCGCCTGATAATAAGAGATGGTACCAAAAGCCAGCATATAATGAAAGGAGAGGTTACTCTCCAGAAGCACCCCATTAGAGAACACACTGACATTTGTCAAGATTATTTGAAACGCATGAATTGTGAATACTTAAATGTCAGCTGAGACATTAGGAAAGAGCAACTAAGTATGCTTACTAGAAATAAGATAAGATCTCTTTCTTACTCCCTCTTGACCTAGCAGTAGGCAACTTAAAACCAGCTATTCACTCTCTCAGTTTATATGTTTTTTTATTTATACATTTTCTAAACAAAGGTTAAGGAGCCCTTGCATTTTTCCAGTTTCTCAAGCATGCATAGCTATGCAACAAGCCAGTTTGTTGTTGTTGTGGGCCTTTAAGTTGTTTCCGATATATGGTGACTCTAAGGCCTATTATGGGATTTTCTTGGCAAGAGTTGTTCAGAGGTTTGTCATTACCTTCTCCTGAGGCTGAGAGAGTGTCACCTGCCCAAGGTTATCCAATGGGTTTCATGGCCAAGCAAGGAATTGAACCCTAGTCTCCAGAGTCCTAGTCTAACACCCAATCCACTATGCCACACTAAGTAGTAGTCTACATTTTAGTTGGTTAACTTAAGTTCTGCAGGCAGCATGGTCATATGTCCTACTTTATAGTCCTCTGTTTCAAATGATTGTTCACACTGAAGGTGTCTTCCATACAAAAGGTAGTCTTTAGGCTATCTTCTTCTTGAAGGTGACCTCTGCTGAAAGTCTGTCCAGTCCAAGTCTTGTTTAAAGATAAAGAACTACCAAAAGGGAGAGCAAAAAATGGGGGATTTGAAGTTGTCCATCACCAGAACCAAAATGAACAGCAGGCACACAAGTCAGCTTGGTATGTTCACACATTATATTCAATACAGGTACAGTTTGTGTAATTGTATGTTCATATTTTTGATCTGTACAGTGGTATAGATATTCACAGGTAATATTTGAATGTTTACAGGCACATGTCAGTTCACAAGCCTATGACAAAAAATGCTAATTTTTACAAAGTATTTTATATCTGTACAGCCTGCTTTCCCTCTTTGTCTTATGTCTAGCTTATGGGGGGTTTAGCAGCATCAGCACAGGGAGAATGGCAAAAGAGTGCTGGAAAAACAGATTTTTGGTATCAGGTTGAAGTGATAAACAATGCATTAAAGACTGAACTGGGGAACAGCATGATTTATTTATTTATTTATTTATTTATTTATTTATTGGCTTTATATCCCACCTTTCTCCCAAAATGGATTCAAGATGGCTTACAATAATTTGAAAAAGCTAGAACTAAAACATTAATTACTAAAGTTAATTACTGTAGCTGATCTTACTGTAACTGCATATACAGTAACTGTATGTGTTAAAGTAAATGTCAACAAGTAACCTGGCCAGCTTTCACACATGGAATGGAAAAGGTCCATTTTGTCCTTCCCCATGGGCAGCAAAATGGCTTGGACCAGCCTTACTTAATCAGTTCAGATCAGTACAACCAGCAATAGCCACTGATCCTTCAAAGTGTTCTGCTCCTCATTATTGGATGCAAGTCAACCAATAGAGGTCAGAGATGGAGGAGGGACCCTTTCATGTATTCTCTCCAGCCAATGAAAATTTTAAATAAGTTACATTTTAATTGCAAATGTAATGAAAAAGAGAAGTGAAGCAAGGAAGGGACAATGAAAGGGGAGGGAGTGGGATAAGATAGGAATATGGGTGCAGTTATAGGCTAAGCATTTACATTACATTAAAAAAAACACTACCCTAAACAGGTATCTGGAAGATGGACATTCATGTACAAATAAAGCTCTAAAATCTTCTAACTACTGAATGATGGTTGGTGATGTTTTTTACAAAGTGTTACTGTTGTTCTTGTGTTCCCTCAAGTTGTTTCTGGATCAAGGGGGGGGGGAGATAGTGATGTTTAATGTTTAAATAGTCCTAATTTCAACTCCAAAATCATTCTCAAAAAGTGACATTGTTATGCTGTTTAGGAATTTCTCCCCAAGTGATTCCCAACTTCAATAAATATTATGCAGATTGGAAGAACAGAAATGTTTTAATTTTCAAGGCTTAGCAAGTTCTGCATTTCAATAAGTTCCATGTGTTTCCCTTTACCAGGGAGAAGAGATGTGGAACCAATTGTTTTACCCACTCCAGGGAAAACCTACTATCTCCAGGGGTGACAAGCTACTGGAATAGATTAAATACAAAGAAACAGTGAAATATGTGTTCTCCTTATTTCATTTTCAGAAAGTTAGCTAAAAGTAAATGAGTGCATTCTTTTTTAAATAAAAAAATATCCTCAGAAAATGGGAACACTACAGTTTTTTAGTAGCAACATTGTGTAGCTGAAGTGATTGAAATGCAAGTCACCCCTTCCATAAGTTGTAAATGGGAGGTCTAGTGGCTCCACCTGAATGCCTAGCAGGCACTAAAGTGTGGAAATATGCAAGTATGAGACATTATGGCTGACTGACAGCACCATTACACTTGTCAGAGAGGGACGTCTCATCCTGAAAATTCCCCAGTGTTTCTTGGTAGATGTGAATAGCAATGCTGACTACATAAAACATCAGAGGCCTGCAAGCTCACCTTCCTAAACAGCTGATTCTGAACAAAAATGGATTACTGGCATCTTCCTGAGAGAGGGAAGTGTATGTTATATGGGTAGACCATAAAAAATTTGTTCTGACTTGCAATATGTATTATAGATTTTCTGTCCTCTAGCTATGATGGCATAGCCCCTAGCAAACTAAAGCCTTTGGTGAAAAGGCTCAACTGTATACAAAAATAAAATATAAGGCTTCGCCACCCCCACCCTTTCCTGGTGGTATAGAACAATCTGGTCAGTATATGAGAACTGGTTCCCAAGTGGTACTTCTTCTGACTCTACAGGACCTTCATTGACATCAGTAGCAGAGCTTGGGAAAGTTCTTGGGAAAAAGCTCCCAAAATTCCCTACCCCGTGTTATAACTTTTCCAAGTCCTGATCACTTTTGCCATTAATGGATGAATATGTGAAGTCGTAGGCTTTCATGGCTGGCATCCATAGATTTTTTGTGATTTTTTTTCGTGCTATGTGGCCATGTTCTAGAAGAGTTTCTTTCTGATGTTTCGCCAGCATCTGTGGCTAGCATCTTCAGAGAAAACTTTTCTCTGAAGATGCTAGCCACAGATGCTGGTGAAATGTCAGAAAGAAACTCTTCTAGAACATGGCCACACAGCACGAAAAAAAAAACACACAAAAAAAATGGATGAATATGCTTGAAATCAGAATAAGATTACAAATGGGGTGAGTGGTTATAAAAGAACTAGAAAAAATCCTAAAGTGCAAAGCTATACAGCTAACACAAACATTAGACTCATACAAGCCATTGTTTCTCCTATTACCATGTATTAAATGAATTATTATTCAGCCATATAATAAACAGAAACACCAGCAACATATTATTTTCAGTTTCATTCTCTGCAGCTTTATGATCTGAAGTAAGATCACAGTCTTAAGCAATCATAATCCTTTTAATCATTCTTATGGATGCTGTGTTGCTTTCTTTTGATCCATGGTCTTTCTTGCCTCAATTTTGCTTCCATTCCACCTCTCTCACTCTTTTTCTCCATAGCTGCCCCATATTTTTCAACCTCTGTTTTTCAAACTTGCCCTTTTGTCAGGAGCCACAGGTGTTTCATCTACCATCTTCCCATCTGGCTCTATTTAGTCTTCACTAGGGGGCTTCTGCTTTTTAATATACTTCTTGTATTAGGGGACTGAGAAGTGTCAGTGTATATTCTTCATATCCCTTCACTTCTGAAGTCTTTGCCTGACCTCTCTCCTGGATATCAGATTGTATTCTCTTCCTCCTGTACCCGTCTCTTTTCTGTCATCCTATGATCTATGGCTCTCAGATTTTATATTAAGCATTTGTCACTTTACCAGTTACCAGTTTTTTTTCCTTCAATTTCTGATATAATTATTTTTTTCCTCATTCCAAACAGAGCAGAGACTGTGCTACCAACTTGATTGAAGAAAAAAGATACAGGGGTTTTCTGTAAGTTAATTTATTCCTTAGCAAACACATCCACTCCAAAGACACTATTCTCTTGCTGCCATATATCTGTGAGTTTTCAGTTATCAGCCTAATATTTTTGGACCTCTGAATCCTAAAAGGTAAAATGGAAAAACACCAAATGCCTCTCCAGAACTGTGCCATCAGCCCTCCATACCCACAGATTTTTTATCCACAGATTCAAGCATCTACAGCTTAAAAATATTCAAAAATATATAAATTCTAAAAAACAAAGCATGATTTTGCCATTTTATATGAGGGACACCATTTTACTATGCTATTGTATTTAAGGGACTTGAGTAGCCATGGATTTTGGTATTCATGTAGGGTCCTGGAACCCAGCCCCAGTGGATACCAAAGGCCCACTGTATAATTCTCATATTCTTATGCTTAATAACTGCAATCATTTCTGAAGAAGTTGTGTCTGACCTGCTTTTATTTCATAGTAGAATTGAGAAAACAGGAAAGGAGGTTGTGGCACCTCTGGTTCTTATTGTCTGACTTGAGAAACTTAAAGCTGCTGAAAGAGAATGTGCTGTATCCAAAAAAGTAAAATCCTGCCATGGATGGAAAGCTTCCTTCCATCTCACAGTTTTCTTCTTTGGTAAAAGTATGGAAATTTCCATCATTAAACCATCAAAAGTACTATTGCCTGGTAAAGTGATCACATTTTGGTAGACTGACCATGATGGGATAGGAACTAAAGATGGATCTTTATTTCCCAGTGCATTTTACTGTACAGTAATAAAAGTATATATCATCATATATGGGACTTCTGCAAGGAACTAAATGGATACCATTTTCTTCCCAGGTCTGTAGTCAAAGCAAATGGCTGTATTATAATTGCCTCTGATTTTAACTTGATCTTAGATGAGGCACTTGATAGCAGTTCTAATGCCTCTGCAAAACATTTAAAGGTGACAGGTGCTATTAAGGTTTGGTGAGAAATAATGCTTCAAGAGATGCTTCATCTTCACCCAGGTTTATATTGCTGTTGTAGGTAGGAATACAGCATTTTATTTGGTGCACATGTAAACTGATGGCTTTTTAAAAACATGGCCTAAGTGCAATACAGATAGGAGGGTATTAATTGAAAACAAGACTTTCATTGATCATTTTTTGAGTCACTACTGTGTAATTTGGGAGGAGAAGAGAGAAAGAGGAATTGCTAGCTAGCTAGAGACTAAGGAGTCAAATAGATGGCCCCAAAAAAGCTGGCTTCCAGGTGGCTTGGGGGTGTAGTGTTTTGATGCCCCATACCCCCAAGATGCCCAGAAGCTGCACAGCCATTCAGATGGGGGCAGCTTGAACCTGCTCCAGGAGCATGGTGTTTTGACACTTCATGCCCCCAAAGTGGCTTGAAGTTGCCCTGGGATTATGGTGGTGCTGCCTAAGGTAGCCCTTTACCGGCCCAAATAGTAGTGAATCTTTTCTGCTCCTATTTGGACTGGCATTGGGGTGGTTGCCATGACATTGGGGAAAGCAGCTCTGGGGTAGCCACAATCCAC